CGTGACTTCCGCTCACAACGAGATGTCGGCGGCCAGGTGCGTGTATCAAAGGTCCTCTGATACAAATATAAATCCAAGGTATTTCGGCCTTTAAACAATCGTCAATGAATTGATGTATGATTAAAACCTAACCGGCATGCCCTATATCTGTAATGGGCTTATGAGAAAAACAAATAACATTTTACGCCATACATTCGCATTACAGTTGACTGTTTTCCTGCCATTTTTTTCAACAAAGGTTACCTGTACTCTCGAAATAGCAGAATGTAAGTAATTGTGACCGACAATACTTTTCACTGTGTATTGTACTCGAAACACGATATTTAGTGAATAGGCCTTTTGTGTGTAACATAAACCGATAAGCGAGACAGGCGTTTTACATGCTACTCTGTGAAAACGAAGACCGTTATTTACGTACAATGATTTGTGTGAAACTGTGAATACATTTTCTGGCGTCTATGATTTTGTTTACACATATTTTTGTTTGACGATGGAAACTATTACTTTACCTGAATTCAACAGCGCGATTTTCCTCAAATAAGCATATTCCTTGAGATCCAACCGACTACTCCTGCACCTCTCAAGTGCGAAGTTTAATTGTTCAACTGATTTGTGCGTTGGAATGCCTTCACTGAAAAGCTGATAGGTGGTACTACCAGGTTCATGGCTTTCGTCCCGTTCAACACAACATTCGTAGTTTTCCTCAGCCATATACAGTAACACAAGGTCCTTCCAAGAACTGTTCAGTAACACCAACTGGTCATGAGTGTTCAACATATAAAAAACAGGTAACGATTTCGTAAACTGTACGGCTCGTATCAACCAAGCCGCAAGTTTTGAGTTTAGTTCCTCTTGACATTCTGTCGTCAGTTTCACCGCCACAGCGTCGTTTTGAGGCGGATTCGTAGCGGGACCCGATAAAAGATGTCCTGTCGCTGTGTCCGCTAATAATCCCCGTAGGAGGCTGGTTTTGCTCTGAGATGTCCCGTTTTGTTGGTCACCATGGTGAATGGTTGTTTTATTCTCCGAAAACATCTTAGCTGAAAAAATAAAAACAAAAAATTTGATCTAATATCTCTCTCTCTGTATATATAAATATAACAACACTTTTCAATTTCAACACACACCCAAAAAATACGAATAATGAATACAGCTAATTCTCATATTTACCGAAACTACCGTATGGTTCAGTTCTATAACTTAAAATGTACATTAAATTGAACTGAGGGCAGGACACGTTAGTTATTTTAAAAAAATGTGATTACTGTCGAATAGTGTCTAAATTTTGAGATTTTGGTCACACGATTCCCGCCGCGTTGATGGGGTTGTTCCGTAGTCAAACGTGATGGCCATTCGAGCTTCGCGCAGCCGCAGAAGCAAGAATGACGAAACAGGATGCGGTTAAAAAAGAAAGTTTGAAAGAATGGCATGTAAATGTGATTAGTTTTATTGCTATGGCAAAGTATTAATAAAGCTAAAAAGTGACGTCAGATATAAGACGGTGCATAAAATATCACATCACGTACACCAGTCATGCACTCTGTTTCATCGCCGTCAATAACATTGATTGCTGGCGTTTAATAGTGGATGTTTGGGTGTTAGTTCCGTACTGGCAATTTTTATTCGCTTCATTAAAAAAATATGGACAGACACAAAAGTACAATCACGTAATTGTGATAAAGTTAATTCAACTTTACATTTCTGAGAAAACTGGCGAAGAAGTTCACTTGTAGTTCAAAATTAAACTGGGGGAAGTTCGCCGTGACAAGAACACGCGTCTTTTGACGGATGAGAGTCGAAATGAATAAATTAACCCCACTTCACCCGCGGGATGTTTGCATATTTTAAAGAACTAGACCATATTGTACACTTTTAATTGCTGTGTTTATTTTGTAAACGATCTATAATTTCGGAAATGGGAACGGTGGATTTATAGAATGCGATAATGTCGCTCTGCACTGCCACCCACAGTCTTATGTATGTGCGCCAAGTCACATAAAAGTCAAACGATCGGCTTTTGCTGTGTTACCGACTGTTCTATCCCGCGTCACTGACTGGCAGTTTGTTTATCACAGTGTAGTAAACCGTGGGCGATAACTTCCAGAGGAAGCAACGATTTGGTCGCCACAGCGTGCTCCAAATTTACTTCAGGGTCAGACTTGGCTGCTTATATCAGCTGCACGCGTTGTGTTTAATTAACATTCAGGCGTACCCGAACCAGCAACCACAAAAGCCCGATAGGTAGCGACCTTGATTTCCTGTGGGCTGCACACTTCGCAAGCTGTTGTGC